ATCTACAAATCCTATTTTCCTAGCTGCATAGACAAATGTACAAGTAGCCATAATCAATTAAATAATAATATAAATTCATCATCAAATTCACACCCAAACTAAACTGGAGAAGTAAAAGTAAAGTGGTAAAGAAGTTACCAACATAGTGAGAGAAAATCTCAAGCTTGGAAACACGGCCTCACTCCGTTTGATGTAAGTAAGGAACACTCTTCTGCTGGTCAACCATCACTGAATTATCACCGATTAATCCGACGATGGAGGCTACCATGACATGTGCGAGGTTGCTCATCACATTAACACTACTAGCAGTACCATCTGAGAATCAAATCACAAAAATTAACAAAATATAAACTGACGACAATGTGTTTGTGTAAATGCGTAAACCAAAATAAGTACCTTGCAGTTGTAGCTGCATGTTGTTCAAAGATTCAGAAGTAATCATAGATCGATTTTTTTGAGGGTTGATATGAATAGAGACAGGAATTGGATGGATGAATAAATAAATTATCTTGAAATGTAAAGAATGATAAAAAATGAGACTCTGCTAACATTGTCATTTAATGGTCTCGCCAAACACGTTCATCATCATTTCTTAGAAGAAATGGCCACTTGCTTTTTTGAATTGATTATAATAAAAAGCGTCCCACGTCTCCTGATGACGTTTTTTGTGGTGAAGGATTGGATAAACGTTCACTTTAGTCAAATTATATTAAGTTGTATATACTTAACGTGTGGATTGGATGACATGAAATTGTTAACCAAACAAAAAGCACACGAAAACCAGACAAACACATACGAGATGAGGAAAAAAATGAAACCTGATACGAATTGCAGTTGGCCGGAGAAGTGGAGCGCCGTTGACCGCCGTAGAAGCTCTGGTTTAGGGTTTTTTTGTGAAGAAAATCTGACTGAGAATAGAAAAGTCATACGAATTGTGTTTTGATATTTATTATAAAACTACCTACGAAAGCGCTTTTAAAAGCGCTTTCTAAAGGTCATCTATAACAGCGCTTTTACATCAAAAAGCGCTTTCGTAGCACATCCTATAGCAGCGCTTTTAAAAGCGCTTTCTAAAGGCCAGCTTTAGCAGCGCTTTCTAAGGCTGACCTTTAGCAGCGCTTTTGAAAAGCGATTTCTTAAGGTACCCTCTGAAAGGCCAGCTTTAGCAGCGCTTCCCAAAAAGCGCTTTCTAAGGGTGACCTTTAGAAGCGCTTTTGAAAAGCGCTTTATTAAGGCACCCTTTGAAAGCGCTTTTTTAAGCGAATTTTTTTTAAAACCTACAACAGCGCTTTTTTCCAAAAGCGCTTTCTTTTATGTGCTGCTAAAACTTATTTTTGGCGTAGTGTTTGTATTCCATCAAGACGGAGTATAAATTCCTAATGAGGAATTATGTATGGTCTTTAGGTAATGGTTTAAAGATTAATTTCTGGCATTACCACTGGCGCAAACACCAGTGTAGATTTCTTACATTCGAATGACATCGTTGATTCTTCTAAAGTTTTTGATTGCATCTCTAATGGTAATTGGTCCTTTCCTAGCCGCTGGTTATCCTTGCTCCCCAGGATTCATCAAAAAATGGATACTTCTCTACTGCAGAACCTCAATCACGATGACAAAATTATTTGGCCTCATTCCCTTGCCGGTGACCTGTCTCTTAAGGAGGCTTACATGTTTAAATCACCTTTTACTCCTCAACCTTGGGCCAAGTTTGTCTGGTACAAAGACATTCCTCCTGCCAAGTCTTTGGTTACACGAAAGCTCTTGATGGATAAACTTCCTACTTATGAGAAGCTGAAGTACAAGGGCCTGATTTTCCTTCCATGTGTAGCCTCTGCAACAATCAGGTAGAGTCCACCACGCATCTATTTTTTTATTGTCTATTTGCCAAACGTATCTGGTTCAAGTTTCATAATACCATCAACTTATCTGTCCCTCCTACTTCTCTGGAAGAATGGTGGAGTTTTTGTTCCTCTAGTAGATCCTCTCAATACACCTTGGTGCTTAGGTCTGTCATCATTCATATCATATATTTTTTGTGGGAAGCTAGAAATTAAGCCAGATTTAAGAGTCAAGCACCTAATTCAATTGTGACCATAAACAAAATCAAGAATCATGTCTTCCTGACTGGTAATAATACGATTACTATTTCTTCTTTCTCCATGTATGATTTCCAAAATCTCAAAGCTTTCAACATCAATGTCAACCCCCCTAATGCTCCGCAAATCCTAGAATGCTTTTGGCAACCTCCTCCTCTCTGCTGGGTGAAATGCAATTGTGATGGGGCTTTCACCATAAGCTTTAATAAAGTTGGTTGCGGTGGAATTTTTATAGGGAATCATGGTAACTTTCTTCTGGCATTTGATGTGCCTGTGCATTGGCTTTCTTCCTCTATCGCAGAATTTGAAGATGTTATCATAGCCATGGAAGTAGCTATGCAAAAGGGATGAGATTATTTTTGGATTGAATTCGATTCTAAGTTTGTGGTTTTGGCTTCCACCAATCATGTGTTGATTCCGTGGTAAGTCGGAAATTGTTGGAACATCTTTATCAGTCACTTTGCTTATAGACATTTGTATTTCACTCACATCTACAAGAAATAAAATACATGTGCTGACACTCTGACTAATCTAGGTTTATTTGCTACATCTATAACCATTTTTGAGTTCATTCCTCTAATTATGAGAAAGGTCTTTGTAAGCAATAAATTAGGCTTACCTTGTTTCAAATTCAGTTCTCACCGATGAAATGGGTCTGTCCATCCATTTTTTTAGGGCTTGAATCTCTTCTTATATTAACTTTTTTTTTAATATACGCCTTTATTAAAAATATTAAAAAAAACCGGTGTACATATTATTTTATCTCTTTATTATTTATTTTCGTCACAAACTATACAAAATAACTAAATCAAATATTTAAGTTGAAATTGTATTTATTGGATGGCATTAATATTGTGGATACAATAATTTAACACTTATTTTTTATTAAGAGACTTTTCATGTTGGTTCTATGTGTTGGGTGGGGAAAGCCTTAAATTCCATTGTCTCTATCATCCATAATGAAGTTGTCTCCTATAGATGAATGAATATCTTTTTCTTGTAAAAAAAAGTAAATTTGCACTCTATTAAAAAATATTAGAAACATTTAAATAGTCAAAATTTTCAATTTCTTAATTATTTCTACTTATCCCAAACACACTCAAAGGAATTGCTTCAACTAAAATCAATTTCATCAAGAATAATTCTTTTCTCAACGGTAGTCAAACATCTTTTCAATCTAATAAAGTCTTGTTTGAAGTAACTCTATAAACTTGAGTTTGTTGTATCTTAGAACCAATAGAAGGTTGGTTTATTTCAAAAAAAAAAGTTAAAAGTGATTTTTATATTATTATATATTAAAAATTATGTTTAAAAAAATTACAGAAAGAATATCAAATAAAAAATTAATTAAATAATTATTTTTAAAATATTATTTTAAATATTTCATCTTTTTACTATAATTTTTCTAGATATTAAAATTTTAAAAAATTATTTAAATTTGAAGTTATTTCAAATAAATTATCATAAAAACTATTTTTTGATATATATATATATATATATATATATATATATATATATATATATATATATATATATATATATATATATATATATATATATATATATATATATATATATATATATATATATATATATATATATATATATATATATATATATATATATATATATATATATATATATATATATATAAATTATAATTTTAATTATATTTTAATCCTTAATAATGTATATTTATTTTATAAAATGTCAAACTAATTTTTTAATTTATTAAAACTTATTTTTTTAAAATTAATATTTAAAAATTATTTATGATAATATAAGAAAAAATCAAATTTAAAAAAATCTATAGATTTGTCAAAATCAATTTTGTTAATTTCTCATAAAAGTGAAAAAAAATTGTATCTCTCAATTATGAAAATTGAAACAAAGAAGAATAATGTTTCCTCCATCAACCATCTAGTGACATTGAGAACCACCCTATAAAAAAGCTTGATATTTACAACCTATCAAAAGTGTGGATCCCATCAACTACTTCACTCCATTTATTTAATATAACAGTCCAAGTCTTATCTTAAGTGCTTTTGTATTTTAACAATTATTGGAACACTTAACCATTGAGCACTAAAATTGATCTTTGAAAAGTTAATATGGAATGCATAGTAAGAGATTAAAAAATATTAAAGAGAGCTAATTCTAGACGTAGCTCCTATGAAAATGATATTTCTCTTTATATTAGAGAAATCAACATCTAGAATTGATAGTGATTGGTCCCTTTTTTCTCCCCTCTCATCACATATCATTATTAGATAAATAATAACCTTATTCTTTTCATGTTAGATTAATTAAGCTATTAAAAAATGTTGAGTTGGTGGCATGTCTTTGTCCATTTAATGCACTATGATTCAATAATTATAGATGTGTAATACATTATTATTTTTGCTTAAATTCACACAATATTTTAGTCACATTAACCAATGCATCAATTTTTTGTTTTTAGAGATGGTATGAATGATTTGTCATATTAAAGAGACATGTTGTACAGAAATTATTTTTGTACTATGGATTTCCAGTTCTGTTGAGTCACAAATTATTCAATCCATATAGAGACAATTTCCTTTTCTATTATTCCAACTATCAACTATGGATTCTACAACAACATAATTCAGACAACAAATGTTGGAAAAGAAACTATCCTAAAATAACTTGTCTTGCATTTAATCAGAGCTTAACCATAATAAAATAAATAAGTGTTCTACGTAGACAGATGCATGTAAGTAATCTTTAAAATTTTGAAAGACGACTGAGACTATAACTAACTATGATTTTAAATTAGATTTGTGAAATTACAAATACAATTTTGACCGAATTCTCGATATTTTCATGCAATACAAATTCCGCAATCGTAATTTAAAAACCATGTACACAACTTCACAAATTTAATCACAATGATTCAAGAAAACCAGTCTTTATGAGGACAGAATTCCTCACTTTGCTAAGATCCCTACCCTTAAGTGTCCTACCAACACCTTCAAAAACAGAAAATGAAGAAATCTGACTCCTTGCAAGCCTTCTTGCAATTATCTCATGAGGTGGCAGCCTAGTACCATACTCACCATCACCATCATCATCATCATCATCATCATCATCATCATCATCATCATCACTATCTCTTCCACCATGGTTCAAAACTTCATCATCATCATCACCATCTTCATGATCATCATAGTAACCATAATTATCATTACCATACCTTGAAACATTCTTAACACTCTTGTTAATTACCTTATCATTACCACCATAAATCTTTGACCAATCCGGAATATTAACCGGTGCCGATTGTTGAAAACCTTTTGTTTCATGAGATGAATTACCACTACTACTCTCACTACTAGTCCTCGGAATCGGAATCGTTCTCGAACCGATTGGAATTATTGGAAGAGAAGATAGTTCTTTGTTCTTTGCCTTGTGATGAACAACTTCACTTGTGTAATCGTCTCTTTCTTTCACAACATCCCAAACTTCTTCTTCTTCAAAATCTCCATCTCTCAATGTTCTCCATAACTCACTATGCTTCCTAACTAGCCTATACTTATCCTCCATTCTTTTTCTTCCTACAAAACATCACAAATTACAATATCAGCGTAAAAAATTTCTACACTGTCAATCAATCATAATCGTTATTTTCAGAGACGGATACATAAAAAAAAGATTTTTGATAATATATATGTATACCTTTTTTGGAACAAGAAGCTTCAAAGAAAAAACTTTATGTAGAAGTTGAATATTGATCCTATAATATAACTTGAGAAGTTTTTGTTACCTCTATAGGATGAAAGGAGGGTTTAGTTTTATGATGTATATTTGATGGAGAGAAGAACAAGGACATCCCCACAAGAGGTGAAGTACACAGCAGCAAGGTCCCAAGAGGCAAGAATAAGACACAACTGATTTTGATTTATGCCTCTAGAGGTTCTCTAAATCATACAACTTCATCTATTTAACTCAATTCATGCTTAAGATAACTTTTGATAGTGAAAGGTAAAAGGATTTGGATTCCATGCAGTAATTGATTGTGTGATACATTTATTGATTTTAACCTTCATTTTAATTGTATTATGATGATACATGTTATTTAAAAAAATATGAAGTTTGAAAAATATGTATTTTTTTGCATTCGTAGTCAGAATATCGACGATCGAACGATTTTAAATAATAAAGATTTTAATTTTTAACCTAAAATGTCAAATTTATATTTAAATAATTTGGTTTCGAAACACTACGTGACATGTGAATGCGGAAATTTTTAAGTGATAAAATTGATTCTAAAAATACATTATATCCCTTTTAGTGATATTATTTTTATTTGTCAAGTAATTTAATAGCTAAAATTTTATATTTTTTTTAAATAGGAAAAATATACATATATTAAGTGAGCTGGTTTAACTAGATTTTTTTTTAATGATATTATGTTACAAGATATATGTGTTGGAATCTTTAATGTGAAAGGAAAGAAAAAAAGAACAATAGATGTTAAATTTCATGTGACATAAATGGTGAAAGTGGATGCTTTTTACTAGTGTTATTTTCCTTCATCTTTTTAATTAATGATAAAGTAACATATTTTTGCTTTTCTTATGTGGGGGCTAAAAATAAGGTTTCTTTTCTTTTTCTTTATTTATGGTTTTCACAAGGCCACTTGTCATGATCACATTCATATAGCACTTTTTGTCCTTCAAAATTACCTTTGGTAATTTTTATAGAGCATAGGTAAATTGGCTTTATGTAGCATCAAAGGTAAAAAAAAAACTTTAGGTTAATTATTGACTTTGTAATAAAATTTCTAGAGGTACATGAGGGCATTGAAATGATGGTAAAGGTACAGTCACTCCATTGTGAATGGGTGGTTAATAGATAAAGGGTAGTTATTGTCATGGAAGTAGACAAAAATGTCAAAAGTTCTCAATGGAAGAATACAAATGTGATTTTGTTTAAATAAGAAATATATACCTAATTATCTTTTGTTTCTTTTCTAAATTAAACATCTTGGTCAAAGCTTAAGATTGGATAGTTAAAACTCAAATCAAGCATACAAACATGTTAAATTTTTCTAAAAGAATTTTATCATAAAGTAGATCTTTTTAATAAATTAATTCATACAATTGTGTGTAGAAAATATCTTACTTCTATATAAATAAAAATAGGAACAATATTATTAATAAAAAATAAAAATAAAAAACATTTATAGAAAGAAAAAGAAGAAAATTGAGGAATCACATGGCCTAATTGCATATAGGTGAGTGCTGACATTCAATGTATTTGGATACTAATTGTCAAATTTGAAAAATAAAGAAAATTAAAAATAAAACAATGGGTGAATAAGCCAAAAACAACTGGTTTTTAAATTAATTTAAAGATTCAATATGAATCATGATAACTAAAGAATCACGATATTATTCCAAAGCAGGAAAAAAATCATTTTACTAATTAAGCTGAAATATGCACCTGAATAATGAATAAAATGGCGGCTATAGATTAAAGTGCATGTGTTGTTGGACAAGAAAATTAGTGTTACCACAATTGTCTTATGTTAAAGTATAATGAAGCCTGGCTCAAAAATATAATGATGCATAATTGTTTTTCCTAATAGCAACTAAAATATAGTGAAAAGAGATAATAATCACCAAAAGTATAAACTTGTCTTGGAAACAAGTTTGTAAATCAAAGAGGAAAAAAAAAGAAAGAAGAGGGTTTGGTGTCATTAACCTTTATATCTAGAATAAGATTGCAATGTTTAAGTTGTTATGAAATCTCTGTAATAAGAAGGATAATTTGTAGGTAAGATGGATTCACTCTTATTATTCAAAATATCATAATATTATAGATGTTGCTATCAAAATTGGAGGTATTTGAAACAAGTCTTACTCCAAAGGGATATTATTATGAATTATTCCAACCCTGTGGGACCAAATGTGTAGCAAAAGTAAGTTTAATATGAAAGTTGTTTATGATGAGTTGACTAAAGATATTCCAACTGTTTCTTGATTTAATCTGATGTATAACAATCATGTGCACCCGAGAGCTTTGACTACTCTATGGCTTACGTGCCATAGCAAGCTTGCTACTAAAGACAGGTTACATAAATTTGAAATGATAGATAATACTTGTTGTTGCTTTTGTTCGAAGGATGAATCCATAAATCATATATTCTTTGGGTGCTATGAGTTAAACTCGATATGGACAATAGTGTTGAGTTGGATGCAGATTCAACATTCTCCCAAGAACTGGCCTTGGAAATTGAATTGGATTGTGTGTCGTAGTAAAGGAAAAGGCTGGAAATCTACTCTTGTTAAGCTTGCAACAACTGAAACGGTCTACGGGGCCTGGAGATATCAGAATGATGTTAGCTTTGGTAATTCAGTGGATAAAAGTAACACGATAAATTGCATTATTGACAATATTGTTTATAGGGCTTGGTTTTGTAAGAAGCTTAGAGGTCCAATAGCTTAGCTTATGATGTAATTTTTCTCTAGTCTCTTTGTCTTCTTTGTTGGCTGGATCATTTATGACCGCCTTGTATCATTGGTTTTTTTGAATATATCAATTTTGTTTTGTTAAAAAAAACACAAGGCATAACATCCTCCCACTTAAGGAGAACCTTAACATTAGGGGATTACTAATGACTCCTTTGTCAGAAATGTAATGACAATATTGAGAATCAAGATCACTGTTTTAAGAAATTGAATCCCATACAACCGACAAAAATGCCACAATCACACAGTCGGAGCATTTTTAGCTATTAAATCTTGATCACATGGATTTAAAAAAAAATATTATATTTTAAACGATCTCTTTTAAATCAGAATCGTCCAATTTTAATCGGGCGACTATCAACACTTGAATGTGTGAATGCAGGAACCCTGACTGCAGTGACTCACAATCCCTATTTTAAGGAGTGCAGTTGACTAATTACATCTGGTTTGGATCGCAACTTAACATCACATAAAAATTATAGACCTAAAGGATTGTTGTATATACAATATATAGAATATGAACCAGGAAAGCCTAACTCAATTCATAAACATCTTGGACAAAATATGGATGGCAAGAAATAAACTGACATTTGATTAGAAGGATAGTCATGCAGTCGGGGTAATTTACCAAGTGCGAAGAAACCACACTTAAGAGTGGCATTGGCTGAATAAGAAGGATCGTCAGCAGGAATAAGCGACCAAGATGAAGCAAATTCCTAATGAAAAAACAAAATGGATCAGTACCAGATTAGAAAAAAAATCAAAGTATTGTTGACAACGAAAATCAGAACAAGTACAATCTAAAATTATGACACTTGCAATACAAATGTCAAGATTGATGTCCAAACAACACAATATCAAGACATATGTTATGACATTATTTGGTGACAGAAAATACTTGCTAAATTTGGAGATTATGCAGAAAATAAATTACAGAAAGTTAAACAGCATAATAAATTGATAACCTAGTTCAGTGCAACATCACATACTATGGGCGCTACCAAACTAGAAAGGAAATTCACCATGAGAGGATTAGTTCAAAGTATAAACAACCTTAGTTTACAACTTCTCTCCTAATCACTACCTTGTGCAACTTCTACCTAGACAACTTTTAAATATGAGACCCCCCTCTCACTTCCAATCACCTCAATGATACCTATAGTCACACACATGTGACTAGAATCAAAAGAATCAAATAGAAGATTACACTTCAAATAAACAATACTTAGTTATGCTTAAAATCTTAACTAAGAACAATATTCAACTCTTTGCTTAAAAGTTCATGAGTGAGAACAATCAGTCAACCTCAATGTATCAAGAGATATATGAGTGACATACAAAGAAAAAACAAAGACCTTAAAAGACTCTAAAAAATCTAAACTCTTATGTTGCACCCACTGTTTCTTCAATGTGAATGCTTTCTATTTTAGGTTTAGCAAGTCCTTATTTATAGACTTTTGCAGAATGAGCTTGAACTCTTCTATTCAAATCCAATCCTGTTTTAAATCAACTACACGATCTTCACACAAAAATAGGATCAAATCTTAGAAGTTTCCTAAAAAGCCTCCAAGATCATTTTTATGAAATCAAATTAAATATGTATTTGTTCCTAATAAAATCTCCTTGACACGCGCAAAATAATGATATATATATATATATATATATATATATATATATATATATATATATATATATATATATATATATATATATATATATATATATATATATATATATATATATATATATATATATATATATATATATATATATATATATATATATATATATATATATATATATATATATATATATATATATATATATATATATATATATATATATATATATATATATATATATATATATATATATATATCCAAAAAGATCTCTCAAAAACAAATCAAATTTGTAAAGAGATATAACAACAACCATTGTTGTATAGCATGCCAAGATGTCAAGACATCTGCCTCAACATCTATCTGATATAAATGACAGCAGAACATGTCATGACAATTGGTCAAGATGTTGTGACATCTTGCTCAACATCAGTTCAGAACCATGTTTTAG